TGGTGTTTTTCATTCCAACCATTAATGGTCAGGGAAAGGCTGAAGACAACTGGGGCTCCCTCATGGCTCTTCACTAGGGACCTAGTGCTCTGTAAGTTTGACTGACAACTCATCAAAATTAAATGGAGAAAAGTTCAGAACAATAGAATCTTAGATGTGACCTCATTCAAAAGATTATAATATATGCAACCCCATGTCCACCACAGCTTTATTTACAATAGCCAAGGTAAGGAAACGATTTAAGTGTCTATTGCTTAAAATGGATAAAGAAGTATATACATATATATAATATATATATATATATGCATGCACACACAATGGAATATTATTCAGCCAAAAAAAAGAGTGAAATCTTGCCATTTGCAACAACATGGATAGACTTTGAGGCCATTATGTTAAGTGAAATAAGACAAAGAAAGACAAATACTGTATGATCTCACTAATATGTGGAATCCTAAAAAAGAAACAACAAAACCAAGCTCATAGATACAGAGAACAGACTGGTGGTTGCCAGAGGTGGAGGGTGGGGGGAATGGGTGAAGAGGACCAAAGGATATTAACTTCCAGTTATAAAATAAATAAGTCCTGAGGATATAATTTACAGCGTGGTGACTATAGTTGATAATACTGTGCTGCACATTTGAAAGTTGCTAACAGAATAAAGGTTGAAATTTATCACAAGAAAAAAAACCTGAAACTATGTGTAATGATGGATGTTAATTGGATTTATTGTGGTGATCATTTCACAATATATACATGGAATCATGTGGTACACCTAAAACTAATACAATGTGATATGTCAATTTTATCTCAAGTAAAAATAGTAAAATAAAATTACATGTCAAAAGGAGAAAAAACAGATTAAAAGACTCAGATCCCATGGATATACAGTTGATTTGTGGAGAAGATGGGACTAGAACCCAGTCCTCAACCCCCAGGTCAGGGTTCTTCCACTAACCAAGTCCTGGCACTAACACTACTAACATTGTGCTAAGCACCAGGTACTTGCACAAAGACCGCAGCATAGAACTAGCACAGTGTTGCACTAGGACTAATCCCCAAGGCTGTATAAACTAGACACTCAGTAGAATGGAATATTAAAATCTAAAGAGTGATGGAGATAGTGAAACAACCCCCCTTTCCTGGTCCAGAGACACGCATCCAGGCTGAGGATGGTGGGGAGTGGAAAAAGCTGACAGAAAGTACCGAAAGAAGATGCTCCGGTATGAAAAAGGTCTCTTCCACCAGGGAAAGTAAAACAGACGAGGGAGGGAAGTGGAAAGGTATACAGGACAGGAAAGGAGATAATGGCAGTTGAGCTGTCAGGAATCCCTAAAAGTAACTCTTTCTTCTCCAGGACCAATCACACTTTCTCTCTCCATACCCAAGCCCATCCCCACAAGGTCACCAGGCATCTACCTGAATGCAGACCAAAGCAGGTAACAACCATTCCTGGATGCCTCCCTTCTTGCTGCAGGCTGGGCGAGGAGGCACTCTGAGGCATCTACAATACTGAGCACAGATCTCCGTGACCACGTCCCCAGGGGGTACTCTGTAACTGTGTTCACAGTTCCACCTCTGGTGTCTCCCCTACCAGATTATGAGCTCCCGGAAGGCAGGGCTGTCTTATTTACCCCAGTGTGATGCCTGCATGTGGCAGTAACTCAGCAGCTGCCTGTGCATGAACAAATGTCTTAACTCAGCCATCAACTCTTCCAAGAGTTCGTTTCAGAGCTGCTCCACTCCTACCCCACGTTCGGGGTGGGTGTGCCTGGTCCACATTCTCGAAGCACCTGTGTGCCTCTCACGGTTCTTATCACAGGATGTTTTACCTCCTTATCAAAATTACCTGAAAACTCTTTTGAGTCAGACTAGACTGACACCTCTTTGAGGGCAAGGACTATGAATTTTCTCTCTTTATTCTTAGCACCTATCATAATGCTTGGAAACCAGAGGAATTTCCTAGACAAGCATTATGATAGGTACTGAGAAGGAATTTACTAGATGCTTGTAGAAAGGATGAATAAATGAACGAATACAACCAGAAGGGTACCAAAAGGAATGCTAATAGAGCAAGCACTCTTCATCACAGAGAGACCCAAAAGACCCATCTCCAGGAAAATGCCCCTCCTGCTCTCAGAGTGTGTGCCCGGAGTGTCGCTGCAGCGTTTCTCACAGCCTCTGCTGCCAGGAAGGGATGAGACGCCATCCGTATTCAGGAACAAAGACAGAGTGAACCCTCCTCAAGTCTTACTGCTAGATGGCACCTGTTGCTAAAATAGCAGCTGGTGAGCATTCTGTTTTGTTCAAAGCAACAAGGACAATGACAACAACAACACAATCTATTATGGGAAGCAGCATCACAATGACAATAAGAAATCATGAGGCTAAATATACAGCAGAAAGCAATACAGAATTTTTGCAATGAAAGACGAGGAAGGAGCTGCTGGAGCCTGAGGGTGGGGGGAAACTGAAGTGTTGATTAGAAATTGCTCAGCCTGCATTAAAAGAGAGAAACAAGAAGAGGGGGAGGGGAGGGGAGAGGGAGAAAAAGAGAGAAGGGGGAGGAGAGAGAAAGGGAGGGAGAGGGAGAATGAATGTGTTTTTTCCCTGGCTCTCTGACTCATTTTTAATCTGTCCTTTCCTTCCTCCCTCCCTTTCTACCACCCCCTCAAGAGAGAATTCATTGATTGGGCTGGACTAAAATGTCTTACCTTTCCTCTCCTGGTTGCTCTGTGAACGATGAGAGTGAATCCATCTCAGCCTTGACTGCTCCTGTCTCCTCCCCACCTCCCCCTCCCCCGCCGCCATTGTTAGAGCCTCTACTTTGCTGAGGCTGAGAGGCTCGGCCACGGTAGAATGAGGGGGACACGGAAATTGGGACCAGGGAATGCCAGTGGGTGATCAGTGGGCTCTCTGGAGCCAGCCCCACTTGCAGAGCGTGGAAGTCCCAGCCATCTGACAGCTGAGATGGCCCTGATAACAAACCTGTTGCCGGGCTTCCAGGTAGGAGGAGCGACCCCTCCAGGTGAGGATGGAAGAAGGCACAGACAAAGCAGCAGCTCCCCTCCAAACAAAAACTCACCCCTACAACACAAAACCCAGAGAGGCAGCTTCGGACAGTGCAAACAGGACTGGCCTGGGGTTGGGGGAGAACTGGGTTCTAATCCCTGCTCCAGCACAAACTTGCTGTGTGCATACTACTTTCTCTGAGCCACCATTTGCATAGACTGAGAGGGCTGAATGAGATGGTCCCTTTCAGGGATACAAGTCCATTTCACAAAAAGCTGTTAGCCATCTAGCAAGGGCTATTATGTTCCTCTTCTGCCAGACTCCCTGCAAATCCCTAGAGGGCTTTCCTTTGGGTACACCCCAGTGTCTGGCAGAGCACCTCTGACTCAGGGACACCCCCTCACCCAGACGCCTGGATGACTTCCGGGAGGCGGTGATACAGGCACAAGGCCACAGTTCCCCACAAATACAATAACTGAGAAGTAGAGGCGAATTAAGGACGTTCCGAATCAGTGAGGGTGGAAGTGGAAGGCACTGGGAGGCCAGGGGAGTGGGGAGGCATGGATCAGCCAAGCCCTGAAATTAGAGATGATTCATATTTGAATAATGTGGGAGGGATGAACTCAGAGCAGCCAAGAGAAGAGGCTAACTCAGCTTAGTCCCCCCACCCACCCCCCAAAACACCTAAACCTAGCAGGGGGCAAGAGCCAGCGTTAGGGGCCCTTCATTTGGAATAGGAGGAAAAAAACTGAGGCAATAGATAATTTTATTCTGAAGCTAAGGGAAATAATGTTTTGCGTTTCTGCTTAAATATATTTTATCTTCTTTCAATTACTTGCCTTCGATATTTTAAATTAGTTCCTCTTTTCCTACTGACTTGATTTTTCCCAATCTTCTGGTTGGTGCCCCCAGAGGGGACAAAACTTTATTCGGGGTACTACTTTGCATTTTCTCTCCTGCCCCTCACTGCCCTATTCTGTCCTCACCACCTTTCTGCTCCTTTGTTCTTCTCTTCCATCACTTGGTTTCCACCTTGTTGCCTCAGAGCCAGTCCAAACTACCTAGCTCTTCCTAACCCCTCCATCACCACCCCAGAGAGGACTGCTTTGTGAATCTCTCAGGACTGCCCACCCTGCCTGGCCTCCTATCTCTCAACCTCGCGGAGCGTCTTGTGGGATGGTGTACTAGGAATCGGAGCCTTTCCAGACCTCAGGAGGGAGAGGAGAAAGTTCACCAAAAAACGAGGGGGAAACACGAAGGTCCCAGCCAGAGGAAGTGACTCTAATGCTAAGGGAAGCCCTACCTTCTGAATATCTCTTCAGATTATCTTTATCAGGGGGTGTTCCCATCTGTTTATTGGGGGAGGAAAGCTCTTCTCTGTGGGACCACTCCCCAAACGGTACCAAATGAGAGAGAGCAGGGTCCGAAACTCCACAGCCAATCAAGCCTCCAGCCCCATCTCCTTCCTCATCCTTATTCCCCTGCACCCCTGGGAGTCACGGGAAAATGCCCCTGGGGCTCCTGGCTTCTCCAGGGAAGGAATTAAGGAGACAGTTCTCTACCTTCAACATCCAGAAAACTGGTTCTCTTAATGAGTCTCCTGAGCTTTCATTTTTTCCCAGCCAGGCTCTTCCCAGGACTCACATCATTACAAAGTCAGGATAAAACAGAGGAAGAACCGTTGTATGGAAGGGGAAATGCACATTCGAAAGAACAATCTCATATCTCGACTGAGTCAAAACACCTGCATCTCGAGCCGTCTCACTTGCAATCGGGCTTCTCTCCGGCTCCCCCATCATTCTATAACACACACACACACACACACACACACACACTCACACACACAGAGCCCCCTCCCCCACTTACCACCAGCCTGCTAAGCAGCTTTAAACACGATGGTGGGGGAACTGGGGGTGGGGAGGGGTGAGAACAGTACCAGTAGGGGAATACATATAAAGTTATTCGGCTTGGGAGAAAATGCCTCTTACCTGTGAGCCAGAAGAGAGCAACCCACGCCAGCAGCACCCGGTCCATTTTGCCCAACTTCCCATCCAGATTCAGGAGTGAGGGAAGTGGGAAGCGGCAGAGATGG